AAACCTCCCCTTTAGCCTGTTATCAGCAGCAGCCTCCGCCTCTCTGACCTACTGGACCACCCCGTTCCGCCTCGACCCCGAGCACTGGCACTACCGGTGGACGGTCTTCGCGGCCACCCTCTGGGGCGTGGCCGCCTTCGCCGAGCAGACCACCATCGGCGTGATGGCCTTTGTGAAGGGCCGCTTCAGGGCGGCAGTGACCGCCTCGACGCTCCTAACGCCCGCCCTGCTACTGGGCAGCGCCACCGTCCGCTCGATGATGGCCGCCCCGCCCGCCGCCTACTACCTCAACTGGTTCAACCTCTACTACTGGGCCGGCTGGACGCTGCACTTTGGGGAGTTCCAGTTCAATGAGGACCTGGTGAGGGTCCCGTACGCGGCCGCCAATCGGACGCTGCAGCTCTGCGCCGGGAACATCATCGCGGGGAAGTGCGTCTTCCTAAGTGGCAATCACTTCCTCGACCAGCGCCTGAAGGACGTGAAGGACGTCCCCGAGTGGTCGCTGGTCTTCTGGAAGAACTTTGCCTTTGTCTTCATCTTTGCGCTGGCCGCCTTTCTGATCAACACGGTGGTGTACGTGGTGCCGCTGCCCGCTTCGTTGAAGGCCAAGTTTAGAGATTGAGAGGAGAGTGAAGAGTTTGAAAACTGAGTATTTTCCTTCTGGAAATGCTGACCAAAGACCTTTTCTACCAAAGAATATCGACTTTTGCTTTGTTCAAAAATGAACAAAAAATTTATATGACTTTTTATCGTTGTACCAAAAATAAACTGCCTTTGATCATTTTTAGTCTCCTTTCCAGTACACAAAATACCCTAATTAACTGCTAAATGTGTCAATCGAAGATGGTGGTGATCACTATCTTTCTATCTCTGGTACTTGACCTTCAGACCTTCAGATTAGACCAGTGACGACGACCATCCCTTGCCAGACACTTTAAGCAGCAGCCAAATCTAAGATTATCAAGATTATCAAAAGTGCTCACTATCACGCCTTCACCTAATTAGCGAGAATTTAATCAGCTGTACAAACTTCCAAAATCAAGCTCTACACTGTACAAGAAAGGACATCGACACAATTAGAAACACACACAATCGCCAACTTTTTTGCCCACTTAACACACAAACACAGCCTACTTTGACTTTAATCTCACTGGACACATCCGCCAGGATACTCACAATCCAGTGGCGGTGATCCAAAAGACAAGACCATAATCTAACGATCCAAAAACGACCGTTGATTATTAAAAAACAAAAGTTTAAAAGAAAAAAAAAGTATAAAAACAGCTCAATCAGTTCACTTTTCCTCTCAAGCGTTGACACCATAGTAGTTAAAACTTCTCAAAATCCACCACCAAAACCAAAAAAAAAACAATGTACGCCAAGCTCATCGTCGCCTTTGCCTTTGTGGCCTCCGTTGCCTTCGCCGGCAACGTCAAGTTCGAGGACTGCGGTACGTCCAATCCAAACTCCAAAAATCAAACTCCCAAAACTAACCTCCTTTTTCGATTATCTCCTTCTCCTTCCAGGTCACCACGAGGTGGTGAAGCTGAACATCTCGCAGTGCGCCGACGGCGTGGCCACCTGCGTCCTGCACAAGGGCAAGCCGCTGGCGCTCGACGCGGAGATGATCAGCAACCAGGACACGGCGAAAATTAGCGTCCACCTCAGCGCCAAGGTCGAGGGCCTGGAGATACCGATTCCCGGCGTCGACCGAGACGGCTGCAAGTACGTGAAGTGTCCGGTGAAGAAGGGCGAACACGTCCACCTGAACTACGCTCGTAAGTAGTTGAGGAGAAAAAGAACTTCGAAAAGTTTTCGAAAAAAATTTACCTTCTTTTTTCCTTCTTCCTTCCTCCTCCTCTTCAGTGACCGTCCCCAAGCTGCTGCCCAATCTGCACAACGTCGAAATCGGCGCCAAGATCAGCGGCGACCACGGTCTCCTCGCCTGCCTTCGCCTGCACGGTGATCTGTCCAACTAATATAAATCAACCTAAACCTAAACCTAAAAAAAGTTTTAAACTTATTTATTAAACAAAAAACATTTGAG